AGATCAGGTAGGGGCATTGAACGTCTGCGGCAGATGAGAGCATGCCGGTCATCCCGCCATCAATGTCTGCGCTCACGTTGATGCTCCTGCAGACAGGCTTGGGGAAATTGGGAAAAGACACCACAAAGCCACAAAAACGCTTTAAGAAGCTACAGGGTGAGTCCAAACATCGAAACCTGAACTGTTGCTGCCAGACAAACCTAGGTTCAGGCTGCTCAGTCCCATTGCGCCGACCAACAACAAGGCAATGCCCGCGATGGTCAGCAGCAAGCCCACCTTACGTGCACGATTTCAAACCCTTGCTATTCCTACAGGGGGGGAAGGAGGCGGAGAAGTTGATGTAGGACAACAAAAAATTCGTGTGGAACAACGAGTGTATTGCAACCGCAGAAAGAAATTCAACTTCGCCGTCTGAGGCACTCCGACGGACACCCTGGAGCATGTCTTTCCACACTTGCACATGGCGGCAAACAACCTGGATGGGGCACCAAAGTCTGCTGAACAGTTCGACCGCTTTGGAAGGCTTGAGCCCAAGATAGCCAGAGCACAAGCTCAACCTGACTTTGCCATTGACAACATAGCAGCATGCATGCAGCAGACTCGGTGCAGAGTCTGACTCGCTCATTTTCAGTGGGTGGCGAAGGCTGCCTGAATTCAGCTCAAGGGACTGGCCTTTGGTTAACTGGGAAGGAAAAGACAGTGTACACTACTACATTGGGTTATATAGGGACTACTACAAGGATCCATTCCTACATTCCTGAGTAACCAAAGGCCAGGGGAGGGGTCTCTGATATCACGGCTTTTGCTGCTGTACCCATACGCCCCTTGTCAACGCTTACACACGCATCCCAGGAGGTGCATAAATCCGTCTGATTCTCCACCCTGGCTGAGCCGGACACCGAAGACCACACCGTCACCATGCTTTGCCAGCATGATTTGTAGATCTGCTTGAAACAGAAGTTGTAGTACATGGGCAACATTGGGCTTCGTAGTGTTGTGCAGTGCTTAACGTGCGGAGCGTCTACCTGGCTTCAAATTGGGGCACGCCAGGGTCCAAACCCTGTCCTGAAATCTCCCAAATGGAGATCCAAGGAACTGCTGGCGTTGCAACTGAAAGGATTTAGCTGGCAGGCACACCCAGGCGGGGATCTTTTATGACCCCAACCCTACAAACCTGCGTTGCAAACCTTGCCTGGTAGCGCAGGAAGCTTAACGAGGGAAGCCCCGCCCAAAAGGTTGGTTCACCTCGGCGTTTGTACGAAAGCCAGCAAAATTGTAGGATTCCCATTTGGTAGTGTCCCAAAACAGGGGAAACCCAATATACACCCCGAAGTACTATAGTCCTTACTATAGGGACCCCCCAAAAAAGGTACACCTAATTTTGGGAAGCCCCAATTTACGTGAGGTCAATGAGGAATAACGGCTACCCGTGCCTGTTTGGGACTTTGGAGTTCTGAGTCTAGCTTGCGGGAGCTGCACGGACATGACCCCGTGGCTTTGCGTCAACTGACTACGCATATATATATATATATATTTATATTTATACACGTACGTCCCGGGGATCTATGGGGGGTATACGGGGAATATATGGGGAGTTTAATGGGGTATATGCGGGGGTGTAAATATGTATATATATATATAGGTCACACCCAATACCAATTTCCCTAAGGGCCCATTATACACTCCCACTCCATAGGTGTAACCAATCTTCCTAAGGAGCCTACTCTACACTCCTAATTCACAACTGCCACACAGACACGCTCACTC